GGGTAAAAGGCAGCAAATCTGACCTGCAGGGGCCAGGAGGGAACCACTAAGTGTGTGTTAGGCTCACAGTGCACAAAGGAACTGTGCAAAGGTTAGAGGCTGGAGGTCTGGGGGTGTCTGGGGGATGGCTTGGAGGGTGTCCTGGTCTCTGGAGTGAAAGGAGCTGGTTAAGAGGCTGTTCTGGCAACTCAGCCCTGAGGGAGGGAGGGAGGGAAGTCAGAATATCATTAGGGACTTGGTGTTCTTGACCATAAGAGAAGAGGGAGAGGAAGAGAGCCTGTGTCCTGGGGCCTGTAGGGGGCCCGGTCTTGGCCCAAGGAAGTGCCAGTTGGCCTTCAGAAGAGATGCCCAGACTGCTCTGTGGGGCCAGCTCCCCATCCACACTGAGGGCTCTCAGCTGAGCCCAGACTTGGGGTGGGGGTAGGTTAATGAAAGGTTTTCAGATGCACCTGGAGGGCTTGTGGACATACAGATTGCTAGGTCCCACTCCTGGAGTTTCTGACTCAGTGGGCCTGGAGTAGGGCTTGTGAACATGCCTTTCTAACAATATCCAGGTGGTGCTGCTGCTGGTCCGAAGACCATCCTGTGAGGACCACCGGGCTAGAGGAAGGCAGAGTGCAGAGCCATTTCTGTGCACGAGACGGAGAGGCTGCTGGAAAGTGAGGGCCTGGTGACATGGGGGCTGCCCTGAGGATGCTGGACGCCAGCCAGGGCTGTACAGAGCGGGGGGAGGGGGCGCAGAGAGGGCTGCACAACCCTCCCACCCCACCCCTCTGCTTATTCCCCACCTCAGCAGCCCAGTGCCATCAAGACAACCTGATAGGACCACAACCTCCAACAAGGAAAATTCCAGTTTACAATGTCTCACAGGAGTACATTGCCAGGTAGAGCCAGGCAGCACCAAGCACAGCCGTTAAGGCAAGTGCGCACATCAGAATGCAACGTCACTGTGCGTGGAGAAACCATCCCCTCAGTGATGCTCTCCAGGGCACGCGGCGGTGGGGCTGCTCAGTCCTCATTGCCTGCGTGTCATGTATCTGCAGCTGCAGCTCAAGCCCCTGCGCAGGCTGGCGGGGCTTGCCACGGGGCTGCCTCAGGATCCCCTGAGAGCACCTCCCCCTGGGCCTATGGGTCAGCAGCCCGACTGAGCTCACAGCCCACACTTCCTCCTCCTCCCTGGCATCTGTAGCCTGGTGGGCCCCAGCACTGGGCACTCAGCTGCCATCAGGTTGAGCAGCCAGTCCCTGCCTCTCTGCCACCCCGGCTGCCTGGCTGTCCAGAAGGCTTGGCCCCTGCTATAGCATGAGGTCCCAGGTCTCTCTGCTACTAGAGTGGGCCGGTGGGAGGCTGCTGAGCCGGTGCTGCCCACTCTCCTGGAGTCCAAGCCTCGGACATCCAGTGGACTTAGAGAAGTGCCTGCCAGAGCTGATGGCCAGGATGACTCCCTGGACCCCTCCTTAAACATGCTCTGTGGCTGGTGTTGAAAAGGAGAAAGCAAGGATGAATAAAAGTGCATTTATGTGGTGATTGACAGGAATGTGCAGCTGGCACAGAAAATGTTAAATCAATTCTAGAACTCTGGACTTTTAACTCACTGAATTAGTGGGTTTCTTTCTTAGCAGCTGTCTACTTAATTTTGTAAAGCAGTAGTCCCTTAGAGGTCCAGAATGTCAATTGCACAAAACAGCGAAATATTCTTTGGAAAATTTTGATTCTTAACAATCGGAGTTTTCCAGCTGTCTCAACAACTGGTGGCCCACCAGGGCAACAGTAGTCTCCTCCCTTCTATTCCTGAAACTCATCAAAAGTTGCTCAACAGCCCACTGAGGAGTCACCTACCTATTTCACTATCCTTATCTTTCCTTTTCAATCAACTCTTGAATGCAGTCCTTACCAAGCATTGTCCCTGAGTATGTTAGGGGAAGAAGTGAGACCTGGAAGCTCCCCTGGGA